CAACCTAACTATTCCGTGAACACCGTCCATACACATTAAATTACAATCAGGTGTTTTTTTTAAGTTAGCCGCATATCCTTTAAAGTAGGGATATACTGTCGGCCGCGGACCAAATATGGCCCGCTGCGGCCTAGCAAGTGGCCCACGAATCACTGCCAGTTGTAATGTTCTTCCCAAGCCTGGACTGTGAACTCTGGCCCGTGACGATCCCGTTTAAAACATTTTGAATAAACCTAGTTGACAATCTCAGTGTTTTTGGATGTCACTAAAAGTCAAGCAGCGTTTGCCGGATATATGTTGCCGTACTGTATAATTTTACTTTCGGTAATCTGTCATTACATGGGAACAGTTCATCGCTCATAGTATTTTAGAAATCTGCTACAATCGTTCAGAATCAATGTATCCCAAAATTCTGATACAGATTTTTTGGGGTAGTGCATTGACCCACGCCAGAGAAAAAATTTTACAGACTCTGTGCACTCAACTAAAGACTGCGCGTGGCAAATGTGTTTCCGATTATTTAAGTGGCATTACTGATAAACAAATAGTTATCAAACACTAGGGATCGAATATCAAGAGGAGCTACGTGGGTTTAGGGAAATAGTAAAGACATAGAACGAAAAGTACCTGAACATACAATTATAGAGGGTGACAAAATCAGAGAAATGTATGAGCAGCCTCTAGTAATAACAATTATAAGACAAGCTGATGATAAACGAGCATAGCATTTTCAGCAAGGCATTATAGTTGAGGGGAGGGGTGGGGGGTTTAAAAAAAGGTAGGGCGACCCAAAAAAAAATCCTAAAAAGAAAGTTCGTGGAAGATGTTGAAGATGAAGGACTGGATCCCATCATGATATCGAAGAGATTGCACAATAAAGAAAGACATGGAGGAGTAGAGTGTGAACCGAATTCGGCGCAACGCGATGATGATGATGACGAAGATAATAATGATGATGATGAATTAGGCTGATATTAACTGTCCTCCATAGACCGTTTTAAAAAAAAGAGCCCACAAACAATAATATCAATAAGTGAATACCAGCTTCGAGTGCAAAAAACACATACATTTAAAATTATGGTTCCGATTTAAATGTCCTACGTGCGATTAGTGCAGATGAAAAAGATTTAATGTCCCACGTGTGATTAGTGCAGATGAAAAAAATTTAATGTCCCACGTGTGATTAGTGCAGATGAAAAAAGATGTAATGTCCTACGTGTGATTAGTGCAGATGAAAAAAGATTTAATGTCCCACATGTGATTAGTGCAGATGAAAAAGATTTAATGTCCCACGTGTGATTAGTGCACATGGAAAAGATTTAATGTCCCACGTGTGATTAGTGCACATGGAAAAGATTTAATGTCCTACGTGTGATTAGTGCAGATGAAAAAGATGTAATGTCCTACGTGTGATTAGTGCAGATGAAAAAGATTTAATGTCCTACGTGTGATTAGCGCAGATGGAAAAGATTTAATGTCCCACGTGTGATTAGTGCACATGGAAAAGATTTAATGTCCCACGTGTGATTAGCGCAGATGGAAAAGATTTAATGTCCCACGTGCGATTAGTGCACATGGAAAAGATTTAATGTCCCACGTGTGATTAGTGCAGATAAAAAAGATTTAATGTCCTAAGTGGATTAGTGCAGATGAAAAAGATTTAATGTCCTACGTGTGATTAGTGCAGATAAAAAAGATTTAATGTCCTAAGTGGATTAGTGCAGATGAAAAAGATAATCGATACTGCACACCTTCCGTTTCGCAGTTCTAGTATTGATGACAATAAATTATATAAGGAGATGTCGCAACAAGATAGTGCTCCATAGCCGAGCTGACAACTTACTAATGACAGAATCAGACAATTATTTCCAAATCTCCTACAGCGAAAGGTCTTTCTAAATTTTGTAAATATGCTGAATAATGTGAACCGTAAGAGTCAAATGTTTGGGGATTTGTTTCTTTTTTTTTTAATCACATAGAACTGGCATCTCTCATCACAACGAACTGCTCGCCTCTCAACAACGCTCACTGAGGGAGGGAAAGAGGGAGGAGAACCACAACAACAAGAAAAAATCAAACTAACATACGGACATCACACACAGTAACGTTAAAACAATTATATTAATTGAACAACCACAAAATACATGGAGCTCAATATCTTATAACCAATAATCAAACCCCAATGTGCACGGAAACAACACGTTTTTTTTTTTTTTTTTGGCCAGTGCCTAACCGGAGGCAATTTTAAACGACCTAGAGGGAAACAGATTGGCATTAGACAGGGCACCAAAGACACCAACGCTATACAGATACAGTGGTAACGGAGACAGAGGTCGATCACGCAGAAGTTTGACTGAAAGGAGACTGAAAAGTACTGCATATATATATCGAACAGAAAGGCCCGTTCCACTGATCTCTTCCTGCCCTGGCACTGTCAGACGTTCCAAAGGTAGAGAAAAGTAAAGAAGAGATTGTTTGTTTTAGTATCCAGAAGCCATGAGTTGTTAACCCTTAGGCTCGGTATTATGGATATAGCAACCTTTCGGCGTTGATTCCATTTTAAATACCGTAAATCTGGGAGAAATGTGGCTTTTCTGCCCACTCCTGGGAGTGAACCCAGACCACAAGGAGTTCGTCACCCGCTCACCGCGCAATCCGGTTTAGCCAACTACGCTAGAGAGACGGGCGTAAAGAAGCGAAGAAGAAATTACATCTGCCGAACAAAGACATGACACACTGTAACAGGAAGCCGTACAGCTGTTACAAACACAACAAACAAGCCAGCCGTAAGGGAAAAGAATCCCACAAAGCAAACAATGCGGACACCTGCTGGTGACCTGTCTCACAGCAAAACAACCAGGCATCTCATGGCTTAACTCCAGCTATTGTAGGCCGGCTTGCGGCCAATACCAGAGTGTTTGTAGCTAGCTATTCACTTACGTAATATGTGTGTACGCTTGAAAACATACACAATTTACCTGACGCTTGTTAACGGGGATAAACTGGTAGAGAAACGAATGTTTAGGGGAAGCAATCTCTCTCTTTATAGCTCCCCCTCTCTTTCTGTACCTCCTCTCTCTCTCTCTCTCTCTCTCTCTCTCTCTCTCTCTCTCTCTCTCTCTCTCTCTCTCTCTCTCTCTCTCTCTCTCTCTCTCTCTCTCTCTCTCTCTCTCTCCCATCTTACCCCAATTCCCTTCATCTGCCAACTTTGAGATCGCATTAGAAACTACGCCTACCGTCTTTCTTCTAAGAGCACCAGAAAGCAACCCCCAACAAAAACAACATGACACTAATGCAGTAAGAAGCGGAGTATGCCAGACTTGCAGCGGGACTCCACACTTGCAGAGAGCTAATTAGGATGTAACCATGTCATACAGACTGGGCTGGGATTAGGTTTGGGTTGGTAACTTGTCCTCGTTGTGGTTTAGCTACTTCACTGTCACACTCTAACGCACCGCCGATAATTAAAGTAGTAGTAACTGTGAGAAAGCCTAAAGCGAGCGTTGATGAGAGAAGCCAAAGGTGCTACTTGATATCGAGGTGGTATGACTGCACATGACAGAACGGAAGGGGGCAATAGACTGCCAGTTCTATGTGACACAAAGTCTACAGTGAGCTGCACAATGGATATTCATTCCCATATAGAACTACGCAACTGTCACCTTTCCCTACACAGAACTGCACAACGGTCACCTGGTCCCACACAGAAAGGCACAACGGACACACCTACTCGCACAGAACTGCACAACGGACACAGCACTTCAAAAAGAACTCACAACCGACACTTCTCACCAATAACTGCACAAATTACATCTCTCCTGATACAGAATTGAACAACGGACATTTCACCTCACATAAAACTGCACAATGACATAGCTACTCACACATTCATGCATGACCGACAACTCTCCTCACATAGAACTGCACAACCGACATGCAACATGAGGTCATTTCTGCAAACACCTAATTGATGGCATATCTTAGGGTACTCACAACCATGCACTTAGCCAAACCGGAACTCTCTAAGTGTTCTCGAGGTGTGACATCCACCTCGAGTGCTAGAGATCCCGGGTTCAAACCCTGATGAAGGTTGGAATTTTTTTACGTGGACTTTTAGAAATTTCCACAGGTCTCTTGGTAGTAAGACCGGACGCCCGTGTGTAAAAAAAAATAACTTAGCAGTTGGAACTCGAAAAAGAGTAGCCTAATGGCGCTGCCTGGACAAAATTTGGAGTGTAAAATCTACCAAAAGTATTTCAGGATCTTTGCTGGTGCAACAAAGTTCGTGCAATGTGTTGAGATTCTTCAGACTCAGGCATGAGTTAGAAGTAGAACAGAGCACTTGTGGGATACACCCCTGTGCCATGATGTTGATCCTTTGAATAAACACGAAATAACATCACTTCTCATCCCTGTTTATGTTTCTCCTTTCCCCCCCCCTCCCTTTCCACTGCTGGGGGTGAGGTAGATTCATCCCAAAGCACGTCATAAAAGACTACTAATTAGGAGATTGCTGAAATCGGAATTATTGTGTCGAATGGCACAGATATCGCAGCCTAGCTGTAAACCTCAGAGCAACGTGCCAGCTGCCCTTTTAAGGAGAAAGCAAAAGAAGAATAAGGCACTTCTAAATTGGACACAGAAGCACAACCCTACTGACGAAGGATGGCGATGATGATGACGACAATGATAACCCCAACAAGTGTAGGGCCCACGGAATTCCCCCGGTGTATTTATTCTCCGGTCCCACGTGTCCCGTCAAGTCCACTGACAAGACATCCACCTGGCTGCTTCAAGATACTAACCTAAGTTACTGTGTACACTGGTTTGGTATTATTTGATTTATGTATGTGCTGATAAAGGTTCCACAGCCGCAACGTTTTGTTTGTCTTTGTTATATTGTGAAGCTTGCCGATATACTTTCCGTTCGGTTTGATATCTTTTATCATAACAACAACAAGGAAGAGGAGAAAGCATACAGCAAAACAGCACTCACTCACCAGAAAATCGTCATAACTGGGCAGCTCGTACAGGGAATCGGTAGTCTGGTGACTGGCAGTAAGGTTTCCATTGTGAGAGCAGCTGTCTGTGTTAGAGCTGTGGTTGATGACTTTTGTGGAAACCGTGCTGGAGTAGTTGTCGCCGGCACCGTGAGATATAAAGCTACCTTCACTGAAACAAGAAGAGACACTGCCGTCAGTATTGGTGCCAGACATAGTATAAGTACAGAAGGTACAAGAGCATCGGGAGCAGCAGTGGTGTAGCGGCTAGATGCTCGCCGGCATATCTGAAAATCCAGGGTTCAAGTCCTTACGAAGCCACACTTCACACACACACACACCCACAAACGCCCCCCCCCCCACACACACACACACACACACACACACAAGTGACGTTGACTCCCAGCCTTAAAAAGGTGCCAGGTCCAGTTCTGAGATGTACAGGCTGTCAGGCGTGATGTTGATAAAATCGCCTACCGAGTGCCATTTGGTCTATAAAAATATAGGTCTAGTCCCGTATGCCCAATATGCTTCAAGGCGCGTGAAAAAGGACCCTTTACTATTTATAACATCATCTAGAATATGTCGTATTTCATTGAAACAAAAATAACCCAACACAGAGGTTCTGGAAAGACTGTAAATGCAAAGAAAATTATTGAAAGACATTTTATTTTCAAACGGAAATATTTTGGCCAGATTAAAAAAAATATTACCCGTTTAAAGACCATACTAGTATAGGAAAAAGTCGAGCGCAAGTGGTGGACAACGTTACAAGAGGAAGGGCAACATCAAGAGAATAACAGACAGACAGACAGACAGACACACAGACAGACAGACAGACAGACAGACAGACAGACAGACAGACAGACAGACAGACAGACAGACAGACAGACAGACAGACAGACAGACAGACAGACAGACAGACAGACAAGGATTTCCTATTAATTACGTTTACCTAGGTAACACTGTAACAGAGTCCGGCCTTAAGAAGGATGTGAACCCAGACCATTGTTCTGAAAGGCAAGCGTGTACACTATCCATAACCATAACCTGTTTCAGTCACAGAGGAATATTGCTTAGAGTACTTCCCTGTGACGGAATCAATCAGAATTCTCATGTGAACACTCTAAGTAACAATCGTTACAGGAACTGACTCACGGAAAGGAAAGCCCCTGCTGGAACCGAAGAAACCTTTAAAGAACAGAAAACGCCCAAGCCTGCCAGAAAGGCGGCCATTCAACAAGGACGTTGATCTTGGTTGTCGTAGAAAGCAATACGAGTCGGTATGAGTGGGAGGACAGTAAACACCAGCTATTTCTTTGCGGAGGTGCTGACAAGTTGGCTCTGTTATTGTTATTCACAACAGTATCGCCTTGACCAAGTTACAACTTTGCTTTTGTTCCAGATATGTATTTACAGTATTAGAAATGAGTTCAAAAGAAATGCAACGATTATGAGGAGCTTTCAAATGAAAACTTGAAAGTGTGTGTGTGGGGGGAGGGGAGGGGCGGGGAGAGAGAGTGCAATTGTATTTATAGGACTGAATGGGTTGAAACAACAACAACAACAACAAAGAATAAGAAAGGCATCAACTGCGACTTTGTGGTCAGGCTAGTAACTATATGAGGCTGAAGGAATCTAGCTGTGTAAGCGTTGTCTGAGGCAAAAGACGTCCACTTTTCTGTGTGTGCATTTGGTCTGCGGTTGTGTTTAGAAGTTGAACTAAGTGTGTTGGTTGTACACAGGTCTGAGATTTAAGGAATCAAATTGAGTGTGCGGGTTGTCTCAGGCTTAAGGTGTCGAGCTAGCTAACTGTACAGGTTGTATGTGGGACTGAAGAAGTCAAGCCATACAAGTGTCGGGTTTGTTTATAGTTCCAAGATTGTCATAATGAAGCAGATTCTACTAACATCTGCTAAGGAGTAATATTATCTAAGTGTGTGGATTGTATAAAGGTCTGCAACTTAAGGAGTAATATTATCTAAATGTGTGGACTGTACAGAGGTCTGCGACTTAAAGAGTACTGTTATCTAAATGTGTGGGTTGTATAAAATTGTGCGACTTGAGCAGTATTGTTATCTCAGTGTGTGGGTTGTATAAAATTGTGCGACTTAAGTAGTACTGATATCTAAGTGTGTGGGTCGTATAAAGGTCTGTAACATAAGTAGTAATGTTATCTAAGTGTGTGGGTTGAATAAAAGTTTGCGACTTAAGAAGTACTGTTATCTAAGTGTGTGGGTTGTATAAAGGTCTGCAACATAAGTAGTAATGTTATATAAGTGTGTGGTTTGAATAAAATTTGCGACTTAAGGAGTACTGTTATCTTCTTCTTCTTCTTTCGTTCGTCTGAAATAAGTTGTCTATATCAGCAGTTTTGTCTCTTGTATAAATTTCACTGTCGTTGTTAGTTCATTCAGTGGTCCATAGAGTTTACGTTCCACTGTTGTTCTTTCTGGCCAAAAGGTTTGCCTTAATGTGTCAAAATCGGTGCCGTCTTGGAGTACATGCTCTGCTCTCTGGGGCACATTTCCACAGGTGCACATGGCTGATAAACCTATCTTGAATTTTGTGTACATGTGGTTACGTAATCGGTTGTGCCCTGTTCTGAGGCGAAGGATAATGACTTGTTCTGGTCTGTCCATAGTAAAATAGTCGTCTTGTGCTGGGACTGGTGGTTTCCTGATCGATTTGATTATTCTTTTCTTTTGGTGGTAGTGACTGGTACATCCGGCTGCTCTTTTGTCGCACCTTCCCCTGCCAGTTGATCAGCTTTCTCATTTCCAGGCACTCCACAATGAGAACTGTTATCTAAGTGTGTGGGTTGTATAAAGGTCTGCAACATAAGTAGTAATGTTTTCTAAGTGTGTGGGTTGTATAAAGGTCTGCGACTTAAAGAGTACAGTACTTTTATCTAAGTGTGTGGGTTGTATAAAGGTCTGAGACTTCAGGAGTACTGTCATCTACCTGTGTGGGTTGTAAAAAAGTCTGAGAATGAAGGAGTACTGTAATGTAAGTGTGAATGTTGTTGTGTAAAGGATTGATCAAGTCGATGTTCTTGTCTTCCCCCCCCCCCCACCTCCCTTTTCCAACCATGTAGCCAAGCCATAGCATGCTGTATTTCCATCAACCTTGCCAGTTGTTACCAAGTTCTCGAGTCTATTCCTTCTTATAATATGAAATCATCACTATCCTTGCCATCTTGAAGAAGGTAGTTTGCCACTACTTCCCTTCTTGGCCGTGACCATACTTGGGTGACTGTAGGCATTGTCATTGTAGTGTGATCTTCTGCCTTTCGTCGGGGAATTGAGGACCTTACCAACCAGTATATGTCAGATGCTCTTAAGCCCAATCCACTTAATCCACTAACTGTTCGCATGGTGTCATGCCACTTTGGTGGGGGGGGGGGGGGCGAAACAGGTACTCCACCTTGCCCAAGGGTGTCCCGTAGGTTAGTGGAGGGAAGTAAGCGCCTTACTTCTGCATTGAAAGTGGATACCCCTATCCTGCTACCCTATCGATGCCCAGACTACTATCGAAATCAATATACATTTTAAATAAGGAAACCCACACCAAAACCCATGACAACATACGTAATAAAAATGTTGAGCACAATTAAACTCACATGAACGTTAGTTATGAAAATATATACGTACATATAAAATGAGTCTTCAGTGAAGAAATAACTGGCAGAAGGCACCATCATCACAGCCATGAAAACGGATTCACAATAAGTTGCGCTGCATTCACAATACGTTGCGTTGTATTCACAATACGTTGCGTTGTATTCACAATAGGTTGCGTTTTATTCACAATAGGTTGCGTTGTATTTACAATACGTTGCGTTGTATTCACAATACGTTGCGTTGTATTCACAATACGTTGCGTTGTATTCACAATACGTTGCGTTGTATTCAAAATACGTTGCGTTGTATTCACAATAGGTTGCGTTGTATTAACAATACGTTGCGTTGTATTCACAATACGTTGCGTTGTATTCACAATACGTTGCGTTGTATTCACAATACGTTGCGTTGTATTCACAATACGTTGCGCTGCATTCACAATAGGTTGCGTTGTATTAACAATACGTTGTGCTGTATTTACAATACGTTGCGTTGCATTCACAATACGTTGCGTTGTATTCACAAGGCTTATTAAATATCTCCAGATCTCTCCGGGACATCTTGACGGCGTCAGAAGTTATATTCTGAAGTAGTCAGTCAACGCGTTATTCCATTCAAGTAACTCAATGATGAAACAATAAGAACATGTTCTACTTACACTGATAAATATGGAAGATGATATCAGTTTGTAACAATCAGTAGTGGTGGAACAGACGTAGACACAATCACTTCTAGATGTTGGGTCTATGGACTAAAGCACTTCTTTGCACAAAACTTTCGGAGTTGGCATCTACATAATAACGCAGTTCTTTTCTGCACAATCGTTTTGGTGTGGGCTCTACAGACTAATGTAGTACTTGGCAGGAACTTCTAGATGCTGCTGTTTTAAAAATAAAGTAAGTCTCCGCACAAACTTTAAAATGTTCGTATCTACAGACTGCAGCAGATCTTTGAAAAAAACTTTGATAAGGGGATCTACAGACAAAAGTAGTTGTTCACACAGACTAAAGTCGGTTTCTTGCATTAACTTTGGGACTTTGCAATCTACAGAATAAAATCATCTGTAACACACACGTGTAGACATCAGATCATGCAGCCTCAAAAAAGTTCGCAACACAAAGCTCTAGCTCCAGGATTGTTTAGATTCAAACTAGTTCTTTACACAAATTTATAGATTCCTTGGCATAAAGTCAAAAGTAAGTTCTTTAAAGAAGCGTCTTGATAGATGTCTTGGCAGGTATGGGTTGTGCATTCTGCGATATACGAGGGACACACCAACTGTGTGTAGGCGACGTATCCTGGCTATGTCTACCACTGCTCATAGACATAACATACTGCACGCTGTGGACTATCTTAGAGTTGCTAGTGATACAGACCAAATCCTATATAGCGAACTGGACATCGTGAAGGGCGACAGAGGTAGATTCTAAATGGTCTAAACTGAAAATACAATCAAGAGCATCTCTAACATTAAAATGACTAGCCGAGGAGAAGAATGGGTAGAGATACAAGAGGACAGAGAATGGCAGCACAAAGTGTTAAACCAAGA